TGTCGGGGAATCTTTGGAAAGGGGTTGCAGGTAACTTGGGCACCTGTCCCTTAAATGGAGAAGGGGTGGGCAGTACAACCAGTGATGAAATGTTCCCTGGCATCTCCACTTTGCTGTGTTTCGGAGGGAAGCTGTATTTAATTTATTTTTGTATCCCAGCATGCCCATTCAGCAGAGTATCCGCTTGTCCAGAAGAGCTCCCATGTGCCGCTGATGTGGGGAGAGGCTTCTGCAGAGCACAGGAGCTGCACTGGAGCTGTGCTGCTGTTTCCTCTCACAGGCCAGCACAGAAAGGTGGTCACAGACCTCAGCGAGTGTGGATGTTCTGCATCCAGCAGCAGGCTTGTCCTTGCTTGTCTTTGCTTGCCTGGGAGCTCAGTATTGATTTGCATTACAACATGTGATATTCCGCTGCTGTGCTCTCTTTCAGGGCAAGACAATGAAGGGGGACTGAGTTCTAAAAGAGAGACCAAGTCCGCTGGAGACAAGAAGACCCAGCGCTTTGTTTCCGATGATGATGAAGGTGATCGTGCAATCAATAGTACAAAAACTAAAGCACCGCTTTCTGTTAACCTGGTTCCCTTAAATACTGCAGTACTAAATAAACATAATAGCAGAATGACAAAGGAAAAGGGAGGAGCAGAGTCTGGAGAGCTGACTATGCACCAGCAGACCTACAGGTACCCTCTGAGGTCGGCCAAACGAGCTCTTCCAGAGAAGCGTTTAACAGAGGTTTCCTTAAGCCAGGATGAGGAAGAGGAATCCAGTGAAGATATTCCACTGTCTGTCAGAAGGAAAAATAACACTTGCTTTATAAAAGAGACTCAAAATGGTAAATCTTCCTCTAAGAGTTCTCAGGATGGTGCAAACAAGGTGTTACGTGGACAAAGGGAAGTCAAGCGCTCTGCTGCCTCCCGTGATGGGGCGTTGAGGCAAAGTGTGCCCGGCTCCACTGATGGCTCCAATTTACTTGAAGGAAAAATACCTTCGAGTGAGTCTGGAGCTTCCCACCTGCCTGTTATCACAATGAGGACAAGAAGCAGAATCAACCCCCCCAGGTATTTGCTCGAGTCTGACTCTGAGCCCGAAAGCAGTGAAGAAGAATTTCAAAGAAAAGAAAAGAATGTGAAAACATCCAATAAAAGAGGTGTTTCTAATACTGCCAAGTCTTCAGCAGCAAAAACAAGAGTGCCCGGGAGGGACAAGGTGCAGAAATCTCTAGAGCTCTTTCCAAGAGCAGCTGATGGTTGGTCTGAGAAGGAGCTGCAGAAGCTGTACAGGCAAGTGCGTGCCCTGGCTGCGCAGGGCAGTTCCTCCATCACTGGGAGGCACAGCGTACCAAAGGGTTGGGTTGGTTTGGATCTTTCAGATTCAGTCTCTTTGGCATTATTTTAAAGGTTTTCCTTTATGTTTTCATTCCCTCTTGCAAAATAAATTCTGGTAACAAATTTTAAAATAGTGAAATAAAGGAGAAAACTGAGTATTTCCTAAAATACCTGTAGATGTGCAAGCCTACAGCAACCCATACCCCTACTGCTGTTACCAGTGTAATGTGAGAGGAACACAGTCGTGAGGCAAAACTGGATGAATCTGCTCCTCTAGCTGTTTTTTAAAACTGCATCCTTAATCTTGTTAAAAGTCCTATAAGTAAAACTGAAAAACACAAGTAGGTAAATAATATGGTAAAAATGTTCATATCTATGATTTAGACAGCAGCATCGTGTCTCCCCTAATGAAGTAAAATGTTAAACGTGCCATGCTTATGTATTTAAGTCTCGTAAAGGGGAGATTAGCTGCCAAAACGTTTAATTAATGCATTGTCCAATTACTTAAGCTACTGGGCAGAATTTAATACATACATTAGGTAATAAAATGACCATGTTTGGTTTGGTTTCTTTTAGGTTAGAAACCTGAAAAGGCAAGAGCTCTTGTTTTGGGGGCGAGGGGAAGATGCTGCAAATAAGGAAGAAATTTATCTTGTAACAGAGCCATTAGCTTAAATTGTTCAGATAAGTGTTTGCCTGTTTTAAAGCGTTTTACCTGGCAGCGCTGCGTGGCTCCTGCGTTACCAAGGCTGTGGCTTTGTTCTGGCAGGGCCATCGCTTCATTTCCAAAACACAAGAAAGGCTTCTGGGTGGACGTGGCCATGGCAGTGGGGTCCCGCTCCGCTGAAGAGTGCCAGCAGAAGTACACAGAGGAACAACAGGCAAAAGGCACCAGAATGCACGCCAGAAGGACCGCTTCAGGAAAAGCAGAACAGAAAGGTACGGACATCCTGGTTCTGGGTGTATTGCTGTCTTGCAATAATTTTAAATCCAGTACTATGTAACATGAGATACAGACATGCACAGTGAAGAAGGTTGTCTCCTACGGTTTAAAGTTTTGGTGCGGAGCTTGGAGGATGTCATAAATAACTGAAGTAACAAGAAGAGAAAGGATATCTTTAGAGTTCCTAGGTTTTGGCAAGACAGGAAGACTTAAATTGGCTTTACTACCTGAGGGAAAATAGCTCTTTATATCTTGAGAGGCTCATGGAGCAGAGTAGATAGTGAGCACCTTTAGAGCTCTTGATCCAAAAAGGCCAATGAGGGGCATGCAGGGCTGTGTGGGCGAGGAGGGAAAGCAAAGGCAGGAGCGTGTAGACCAGCGGAAGTGATGGGGTCCTTCCTCCTTCAGGTGGGTTCAGTGGCTCACTGCCCAGCTGTGGGGACTGGGCTGGGGTCTGTGAACTCCCAACAGCCATGTAAGGCTTCAGAGTGAGCTTCTGAGCAAGGTGGAGAGAAATTCTTTCTGGAAGCATAAATTGTATGGGAACACAAAGGATCACAAAGAAGCTGTAAGACATTTCCACAGAGGAGAGACTGGCCTCTGTTACCAGCAGTGATTGTAGTTAGCAGATTTTAAAACCATGCTGCGTAACTGATGTCTTAGAACAATTAACATTTTGATTCACATAGATAAGAAAGAGCCGGTTACAATAACTGCCAAAGTGGGAACCTTCAAAAGAAAGCAGCAGATGAGAGATTTCCTGGACTATTTGACAAAGGACAACCATGACGACGTTTTCACTGCGACACCGTTTCAGAACCAGAGAGTAAAGGTAAATCTGGGATAACAGTGTCAGATGCATGCGCTCTGCTGGTTCAGTTCCATCAGTAGAACTCCATGGATCTGGGGGAAGAGGCTTATTTCCTTGGTTTGTTTTTGCAGCACAAAATGCAAATGCAGTGCATTTCTTATTCTGGGTACATGTCCAGAAGTCGAGCAAGGCCATGGCTCATGGGAAAGCTGAAATTGAAGCGTTGCTTCTGTAAAGTGCAGTGTGCTATGGAGAAATCCCCATGACTGGTATTAGCGGAGTGGCTATGAAAGAGTCGATGCATCCATGACCCAGAGACCCTGTTTTTGCAGAGGGATTTTCCAGGAGACTCCATTTTTTGGTAGAACACAGTTTCAGCCAGTAATTAACAAAAATTTTCTGGTTTTTTCCCAAATCGTTTTGCCTAGCTTGAGCTGCGCAGAAGAAATTAACCTCCTGCTGTAGTGTGCAGTGAGAGGTATAGCTCTGGAGAGAAATCCTGTGTATTTAAGAGTCATGAGTGGATTCCCCTTGTGAATGAGTCCAGCCCCTCCTTGAACCCACACAGACTCTTCACAGCTGCAGTTCCTTGTGCTAAGCTCAGGCTGAATTATTTGCTGTGTGAAGAAGCATAATCTTTATTTGTTCTGAACTTGCATCTGCTGTCTCTGTCCTCCCCTTCTCATGGGATCAGGACAGCGGTCCTGGTCTCCGCTCACCCCAGTGCCAGTTACAGCTTTCCCTCCAGGACTTGCTGTGCTTTTGATCCTGACCCGTGGAAAGAAGACTCCACAACCTGTAAGGTTGTAAAGTAGGTGTGTTTATTAAGCACGTTTGGCACACGGGGGAATCTTTTCCTCCTAATTCCTGTGCGCCTTCTGTGACAGCTTGTCTTAACTTTTATACAGTAAAGTGTTGCACATTCATTACTATGCAGAAACGCCTATGCATATTCATAGCCTTTCCCCAAAAGGCGGTCTTTTTCCAGAAGTCTGGTCACACCTGCGCAGTGTCTCCTGGTGGTCGTGGACCGGGGGTGTCAGGGAGTCCTTTTCGCTACTAAGCTCTTCACTTTTGTTCCTTGCCCACGCTCCCTGGACCCTTGGCGTTTCTCCCAAAGCCGGCTGGAATGGTCTTCTTGTTATCAGAAGCTGTAAGAGCTTCAGGCAGGACATCCTTGACCTCATCAGGAACTGTCTGTAGCTGTGTTGCTCCTCTCTGAACCTTCCCAGTTCTCCTCTCCCTTCAAAATGGAAGGGCCAGAAGTTTGAGTAATCCTGAAATCCTCCTCCTGTGTAGTAATGGTCAGTTTTGAGCTTACTAATTTGAACTGGAAATTATTTTTTGAATGTGTGGTAGCAGCCGGCACAAAAAAAAAAGGCCAGCGTGATGTTGGGCATCAGCGGGAGGAGCATTGAGAGCAAGATGGAGGCATCTTGCATACCTGCGTTCTGTTTGCTATGGGCATTGCTGTGTCTCCAGGGACAGAGGAGTCCAAACTGCAGCTGAAGCGAAGGAGGGAATGGAGCCGCTGCTGTTGAGAGAACAGAGGGTCTGGGCCTGCTCCTGGGCACAGCCAGTGGTCACAGCATCGGCGAGGGGCTGTGTCCCAGTGCCACCCGAGGCAGAGCCTGGCAGGCCTTTTCAGGACAGGTCACTGATTGTTCTGATGTGGTTTTGTAGCTGCCGATGTTCCGGGGAAGCCAAGATGATGATGATGACTTCGCACTTACGGACAACCCGATTACACCTTCCTCGGCCATCTTCCCTACAGCGAAAACCCCTCAGTGTGAGCATATCAGCCCTGGGATGCTGGCACCCATCAACAGGTAGGAACTCCTGCTCCTGTCCCTCTGCTAACCTCTTCTTTTCTCGTTTTCCCTGAGGTTGTGGCTTTTGGCCTCTGAAAAAGACTACTCTCAGAATTGGGACACCAGTTCACTTCCAGGCCTAGAGCATGCACAGTAAATCCTCAGTCCTCGAGGAACTGGTTTAGAGAAGGCTCTTCCTTTGTCAGCATGTGCCATTTGTGCTGCTCAGCTGAGTGTGGGCAGCAAAAATTACACCAGTCACAGGCCATTTACTCCTGGAGAAGGCAGTGACTTGGGCTGCAGCCTCAGCAGAGGTTCCTCCACTCATTTGGAGTCTTTACCTGTTATCCCAATTGCTTCAGGCTTTACTGAAACTGGAATCATGGTGAAACCTGCCGAGTAACGGGCATTTTCTCTAATGGATGAGAAACGAACATCAGCTGGGAAGAGGAGGAAGCTTTGTCTGATACTTGCATTAGGAGCAATAGCATGTGGTCTAATTAAACACTTGTGTGGTGGTATACTCCCAGAGCTGCTGTTACATTTAATTGATCAACAACTGTTTTTAATGACTGTGCTAATTTTCTCTCTGTTGTCTAACGCCTTTAATGGTATCCAGTGGATTGTGTAGGCAGCAAACCAGTGATGCTAATGTGCTCGATTCCCTCTGCAGGAATGATTACGACAGGCACGTGTTCAGGTTGCAGAAGAACACACAGGGCAGCAGAGGCACCTGGAACAACGTCAAGAAGTCGGTAATGCTGGTTTCCTTGAACATTGCTTAGACTCACGTTAAGGATGCAAAGCTTTGCTGAGCAGCAGGCAGGAGAATCCCAGACAAGTGGGTGTATTCCAGAAGGAAAACAGAAACCCTCCTCTGTGTCCTTCTACACTTCAGGGTTTTGTAACTGCTGCTCTTGGAAAAAAGGAGCTAGTTTTCTGTTTGCTAGAAAAGAGCCATGTCCTGTCAGGACTGAACACATTGCTTTTTTTCCCAGGATCTGTAACTGCTCTTGAATTCTGTGATCTTTAGGTACAGTAACTTCCTGCTGTATTCTTCTGTACAGTGGGAAAGAGAGCAATACTTCTCACCTTCTAGCAGATAGTCTCGATTTCTGAATGTATTCTTCCATAGCCTAGATTTTTGTAATTCCTCTGGCTTTTCCATGAAAAGCTGAGATCCTAGAAGCAGAAAAGTGGCTTGTGCCTCCAGTTTAGTGACAGCGGAACAGTTCAAATGTGTAGTGCAGATGTGGTCCAGAGAGAAGGCAGCTGACTCTCGGTGCAGCGCTGGGTGTTGCCAGCCCCCCAGCTGCTGGCAGGGTGCAGCAGTTTGAGCAGAGCCTTTGTCCTTTCGCCAGGCTGGGGGTGCGTTTGCGACGCCTGCATCCAGCAGGACCAAGTTTACTTTTGACACCGGTAAGTATTTGTTCCTCCTTCCTTTCAGCCTCCTGCACGCACTTTCACACTGTCTCTTTGGGTGTCCCCAGTCTTTGCGTTCAGTAATTTCTCTGCGGGCCATTTCTTAAGTGTCTTTGCTTTTTTTGGACCTCCTGTAACTGCTTTTCAGCACTAACAACTGCCCTGTTGTTACTGCAGAAGAGAATCAGACCTTTCTCAAAGGGAAGCTCTTCACAGCTGACTCCTCTAGTGAAGAACAGGACAGCTCCAGTTTTTCTGTTTAATGAATCCTGCTGATTTTATCACTGCAACACGCAGAGGAAGTGAATGTTAAGTTTGGAAGCCCGGACCTGGAGTGTTTTTATGTGTTAGCACTGTTCTCATCTTGCTAGTTGGCCAGCAATGTTTGTCATTTTTCTGTGTACAAAGTGGTAATTTCTTGCCCAGGCTCCTACTTTCCATTGCCCTGTTTCTGCTGAGGGAGGTAGATTCCTGGAAAGTTTTCCTTCACTTTAAGACGAAATATCTTTTTGAAATACGGCTATACAATAAATATACAATGGTTCAGTCTGTAATTAAACAGAATTGCTTTCTAACTTTGTGAGAGTTTTAATTTTTACATGTCTTTTTTTATTACATAAAGGAAAAGCTTACTTAAGCCATCAGTCTTGTTTCAGTTGTTTGAGGCTGTACATTTTCATCCTCTCCTTCGTTTTCTAACAGGCACGAATGGCTGACATCCAGCCTGGGGGTGGCTGTATCAGACCCACGCACCTCCTGTGTCAGCGAGGGGCTCTGGCTCTGTTCCTTGCCCTCGCTGCTGTCAGGCCTCCGGGAAGGGAGGGAATAAAACCGCAGTTGTTCTGCCTGGTAGCCACAGTGTGGCAGCAATGGCCTGCAACCGGTCCCACAGCAGCCAGAGAGAAGAGATCAGACTGGTTTGGGTGGGAAGGGACCTCAAAGCCACCCCAGTCCAACCCCCCATGGGCAGGGACACCTCCACCAGCCCAGGCTGCTCCAAGCCCCGTCCAACCTGGCCTTGGGCACTGCCAGGGAAGGGGGCACCCACAGCTTCTCTGGGCAACCTGGGCCAGGTCTCACAGTAAAGAGTATCTCCCTAATCTCTGTCTCATACTAAATCTACCCCCTTTCAGTTTACAGCTATTACCCTTGGTCCTATCACCACACTCCATTGGAAGTAGTCCCTCTCCAGCTTTTGAGGCCACCTAAGGACAAGGGTCCTTACGTGGCTGCCCTGTGCCCATCCATCTCTGCTTTAAATCTGGTAAAGTCCTTGGCAATTAACTTTGTTCCTAAGAAACGTGGGCTCCAATCATGCAGTAAGCAGCAAGGGATTGCAGGCAGGCTCAGTCCTCTCTGTCACCACCTTCCTTTCTGCTAAGCCAGAAAGCTTTACTTTGCCAGAACACTTCAGCCATTCTCATTTTTTAAGGAGTTTTGGAATGATCATAACCAAAAACCAGCCCTGCCTGCAGAGCCCCGTCCCTCTACACACTCACCTGGGTGCCCAGGCAGCAGCAGTGCTGTGTGCCACAGCAGACAATGTGTCACCCTGTTGGAGAGCACCCAGGGGAGACACAGCCTCAGGTTAGGTGACAAACAGCAGCAGGTGTAGCATGCCAAAAGCCCCTGATGTTTCTGAAAGAATTTATTTACATATTTTACAGTGAACAAAAACTCAGTAAAGTGCGGTTTAAAGAAAACAGCTACATTTCCCTCCCCTCAGCTCTTGGTGGCTGCGGTGCTTCTCCCCTTGGCACAGAGACTCTCGGGCAGCATCTGTGCATCAAAGCCATAGTGGAGGTAGCGGAAGATCTCCTCTGCTTTCTGCAGGCTGACCTGGGCGCCAGTGGCGATGTCCAGCGGGGAGCTGCAAGAGACCACAGCGGGAGGGCACCTCACCTGCAGCTCTCTGGAGTCCCATGGGTGACACTGGGACAACAGGGGGAGCTGCCCACAGGCAAGAAGTGTGCAGAGAGCACCAGGAGCACCTTGAGCTGCTGGTGGTCACCTCGGCTGGTTACTGAGCCAAGACTAAGCCAGCCTGAGAGCTCCTGCAGGAACAGGGAAGGCCATGAAAGGGGAGAGGAAAAGATGGGGCAGTAGGAGGGGTTGGGAAAGCAGAGCCCTGGCCCGCTCAGCGTGAAGAGATGGAGAAATGCATAAAGAGCAGGGCAGGACTGATGTGGAGATAGCAGAGCACCCGTGGTGACAAAAAAGGTGCAGGAAGGATCTCCCTGAACAACCACCCCCGTCAGAGGTCCCAGAAGAGACAGAGGAGTGGAAGGGAAAGTCAGGCCTCCAAGCAGTGACTGTACATCCTTACCTGTTGGCCATCTTCTTCACGGAGCCAAAGTGATGGCACATGTTGAGAGCAGCCAGGTAGCTGAGGTTTGGGATAGTCAGGAACAAGTTGAGCATTTCCTGCTTGTGACCCTCCAGCTCTGTCAGCACGCGAATGGCAGCGTTTTTCCTTTGCTCCACCAAGGCCAGGTCCTTCAGCAAACCAGCGGTTTCCTCTTGGCAAGTGCTAAAAAGAATTCGGACACCAGCCTGGACCAAGGCTGAGAGCACACTGTCGTAGTACTGCGTCCTCTGGAGAAATCGTGACGTCTCTCCTGCAGAGTGAAAAATGCCGAAACCTCACTGAGATTCAAGTGCTAAATTACTGTGAAAAATCGAGTATGAATCACTGGCAAAGCAAAACGGCTCCAAGATCCTCTGCTTCGAGAGGTCACAAACAAAAACAACACAAGGGAAAACATTTCCTGGAAAGGAGGCAGCAGGGGGCATGGGAGCAGAGTTTGCTCAGTGATTTGAGAGGTAGAGTTTAGGAATTACTACTGAAAACAAATTAAATGTCATTAGGAGAGAGGATTGGCAGGAACACACAATAAGTTGCTCATCATCCTGTGACGAACAACAGGATGGTTTTGTAAAGCTACAAAAGTAAGAGTGCACTTGGACCCTGTGTCAAATAAGAAACCAGCAGCACGCTGGATACAGCATCATGGGAAAAAACAGACAAAACCGATGAGAATGAAGGACACCTTCAGCAGGGGGTTAACAAGGCAGCTCAGACATAATCCACTTATGCACAGCCCTGCTGAAAGTGACCAATTCTATCATTGCTTCCATATCTGAACCATCAATAAATTAGGTTTATGTCACAAAAACAAAGCTGCATCCACAACAATTTGATTTCAGAGTCGAGTTTTATATCCCAGAACATCTGTAATTGAATTGGAGCTGTGAGCTCTCATTCCACCTTCTGCGAAGCAGGTGCAAGACCTCTCAATGTTTTTGTAGATGGCACTAAGAATAGACAGTGTCACTAAAATCATTTGATTGCACAGTTTGGATTTTGGGATTAAAACAAATGGCTTGTCCAAACTCTATAAATTAAAGAAATAGTCTTGAATTTTCCACGAATGTTTAACCAGGTCAGGAGGTGTCTCTGAGGCTCCTCTCTCCTGTGCTCTGTGACACAGCTCAAACCCAGCTTCCCAAGTCACAGGAGCAGTGCTCGTTTTGTCCATCTCTAAACACTGTGTCAATATCTGATGATCTCCTGCTCGCTCCAGCAGCAGCCACCATGTGGTTCAGGCTCTACATTTTGGAGACAGCCATGATAAGCTCCTGGGATGCTGTGCTCAGGCCAGCTGCTGTGGTCACTGCCTCTACACCAGAATTTTCCTCCACAGTTTGGCAGATGCTAGAAAAAAAATATTGTTGAGTCCACTATTATTTTAGTGCTGAGCATAGATGAGATTGTTCCTTTATTCCACTACTGTCACTTTCTTGGGTGAAATCTGTCTTGAAGTTGGGTATTTTTGCACTTACTAATATGGTCAGCTCACGTTCGAGTTAACTTGCTTTTCCCCGCTTCAGTAATTGGTGAGGAACGCATCCCTCTGCACTCAGTTGTGTATCTCTGTCCATATTAAGTGGCTCTCAAAAGCAAAACAAGTCTTACGTTCACCTGATGACCTTATTAATGCAATATTCCTACAGAGTCTATAATACAGGTTTTCAACCTACTTTCAGTCACACGTTATACACAAAGCCAGCATGGCCAGTGTAAGGCTCAAGCAGAGCAGCTTGTCCGGCCTGGAACACCCACCTGGTCTAATCCTGTCCTTTTCCACTATCACACATATTCTCTCAAACGTGCTCTGCAGGCGCTGGATCCGCTGCGTGACTTTATTCCTGTTCCCAGAGTTCAGTAAGTCCGACAGAAATCTCCTCTCCACCGCCATGCGGGTGCTGACGATGTAATCGCTGCTGCCCAGTGAGCAAACCTGCACCTTCACGCCATGAACTGCCTTCAGGGCAGAAATCACCTCTGCGCCTGAGGAGATTTCCCGGCTGTCTGCCAGGACACAGAGAGGGTTTGTCTGCAGAGCTGCAGCTGAGGAAGCAGAACACGGTGGGACTGGGGTGCTCCTGCAGGTGTTCTTCAGAGAGCTTTTCACCTGCAAATGGTGAACATCACACAGTACTTCTAAGAGATCACAGAAAAGTAAGGCCAAAGAAAAACATGCGAATAAAATTATATGGTTTTCAGATACTGATGCTTAACAGACACACACTGTTCCACTTTCTTCCCCCCCCAAATCTAATTAATAAAATAGTTTTTAGAAAGGTATTTTTTGATATTGCAAAACAAACACTTCCAGATTAAAACTGTAATCCCCTCTAAACAACCTCCCAGATGAGCTGATCTAACTACTCTGCAGCTTGAATGACAAGAGCATGCAGCCTTCACTGGTGAGTTCAACAAAAACTGAATACCATAAACGACACAAGTCAGGACATCAGGAATCCAACCTCAGACTATGAAGGCTCTTAATTCAGGACAGTGAACAAATATTTTACAACTACAAACCCCAAAGAATTAGTGGACACTCTCTACTATTTGAAATAGATCCATACTCCTCCATGACTGTATCTAATCCTCAATTTTTATTTACTGACTGCTAAGATACTCCCTGAGCTACCTTGCAAGTACAAAAGCTTGCAATACCAACGAAAAGGAAGGGATGTAAGGCTGTGTGAGCAGAAGGGACCCAAAGGAAGGGAGAGGATGTGAAGTTGTGCGAGCAGAAGGAGCAGCAGCACACTCACTTGGTGCTGCGTTGCCACCAGCCCTCAAAACAACAGCACAAGAGGACAGGGTCCCACCCTGGGGGAATCTTTAACAAACCTCGAGGCGAGAGGAAGGCCCTTGTTTTGAGATAACACTGACCTCAGGATGAGCCCGCAGATCCTCCTTCCCCAGATCAGAACCAGTGACAGCTGGAGGGCAGCGTGTGCTCCTGGCTGGACGATCTGGGTGAAAATCCAACGTTTCGGATACTGAAGCTTTCAAGCCAAGCAGCATCTCACTGTTACTCTCCACAGCCTGATGAACGCTGATTTCTCCAGCAGCTTTTCTGCGCTGTGCAGAAGAGACTGAAGGCAACAACTTGGGTACCTTAGCATTTTCCTGCTCCTCCCTGAAACAGTCCATTTTCATGGGCTTCTCATTGCTGACGCTCATTTCTTCCTCGCTGGAATCACTAAGAACAATAATTCGGGATGGTTTCTTCTTCTGCACTGGGACACAGCTGTTCTCTTCCATCCTGGTCTGCTTTAACTTTCTGGTGTGGCGAGTGAGGTACTGTTTTCTTCCACTAGTAAAACTCTCATTATTTAGAAGATCAAAATTGACGCACACTTCCTCCTCACTAGATTCATTTTTGGGGCAAGTTTCCTCTTCCTCCTCTCCAACACAGAAACTGTCTTCTTCGTAAGCCTCGTCTTGCTCAGGAATCTGAGGGAAAAAAAGCAAAACTCTGTTTTGTTTGGTTTGCGTTTTTCACTGCTTGTTTCACCAAACTGGCAAAGACTGGGAACATCCAATGCTGGGGGAGAGGACTCAGAAGATGCCAGTGGGGCTGGCAGGCTTTCTCTGGTTGAAGAGCCCAGTGTATGTGCTTCTGTCTGAGCATGTGTCTGCACATTTTAACTTAAAAATCAAACAAAGTCAGAAGTCTTATGTTAGAACTCACTATTTATCAACAATAGGCTGCAAAGCACACTTCAAAGTAGGATTAGAGCCTAAATAGAGTCACACGCAATCAGAATGTCACCAGGACAGCAGGCACTTTGTTTTGTACCTGTGAGAAAACGTTCATGTTGTTGAATTCACGATGAACCATTTTGTACCTATTGCCAAGAGCTGGACTACGCACAGATTTCAGGTAAACTCCCTTCATCTCATGGTCTGAATTGAAACAAGAAGATAAAAGAGAACACGGTATTAATAAGGACACAATTTTTAATTCATTATTCTTAGTTCTTCATCATTCTTATTTCTTCTTGTTATGTTTCCCATATTAAGAAATTCCTTTATAGTCTCCTAAAACCCTGTATTTCACAAAACAGAAATGTGAAGTTCTCCAGACATCTCTAAGATCCCAAAGCAAAGGACCAGGTGTACCCAGCTTGCCGTCACGAAAGCTGCCTGGCAGAAGGTTTTCTCAGCAGCAGAGCTCTCGCCCGCAGCAGGAGAAGGGCGATGTTAACCACAGCAAACCCAAATCACTTCGTTTTCCATGCTGCGAGTCTCTCCCAAAACAGACACAACCGACTGCAGAGACTGCATGAGAAAGGGGTAGGTTTACTGAAGCCCACACAAGAGGAAACAGCTCACAATGTCAGTGGAGGATAAAATTCCTCAGCAATGTCTGGGAATCTCAGATGGTGATAAGATGGTGCCATCATGCGAATATCCCAGGGAAAGACAAGGTTCATAAGCACAGGATAGGTAAACTATCTCAGCCAAAAACCAACACTGTTATTATCTTTAACATTCATATTGTTATTTCATATATTTTAGGTGTCTCTGTAACAGAAGACCTGAAAGATTCAGGAATTTCTAAGTGAAATGGAAAACTGTGTTTCTGTTTGGTCATAATGGTGTATGGGGGTGGTTGACTTTGTGAGAGGCCATCTCCTGCCCCTCCAATCCTTGAAGGACTGACTCCAGCCTGCCTAGCACTATTGCACAGAGGAATCCAGTGGGGAACCTACTCCAGAAAACAAAAACAAGACCGTAAAACCCCACAAAACCAGAAAAGGTACAAACAGAAAATGGAGAGCATCTGATTTACCACAGCTAAGGAGGTCACTGCTTACCAGCTGACACACGCTGATTATCAGCTGACCGGATGGCCGTGCCTATCGTACACCACCGCTAAGCATCACCCCTTATCTTAAAACCGCTGACAACCGTCCTCACACACCATTTAACACTTGTGTCACCTCCTCATCGTCATTCAGGAACTGAGCAAGGGAAGAGTTCATCTTGTCCTCTGTATCGTCACTCTCATCAGCTGAAACGCAGTCTGCGTCTTGCTGGGACAGCTCAGCTTCTTCATCCAAAAACTGTCGTGCTGCATTCTGAAAAAGAGAAAAATCCAAGCAAAACTTCAGTTAGAAACTGGCTCCCAATGAACCAACGTTACATGTGAGACCTCTGATTAAATCAGTTCACAACTTCAGACCATCAGCTGCTTCCGTGATCAGACACTGCCTTTCTGGCTTTGAAAGGAGAATCCATCACAGGGAGAGGCGCTGTAAAGAACCCAAAGTTCAGCGAATTTCATGACAGCACACAACAAATGTCTGTCCCACCAGCACACATGGGCGAAGCTGATGCCCATTTCAAAGTGCTGGCCAAAGGCAACCACAGCGAGCAGCACCATTTGCACCTAGGCCAGGTAACAGAGTTACTAACACATTGTAGCTAAGCTAGGTTATTTTGTAATTTATGAATCTAGGTTTACTCATTTTATTTGCTTTCAAAGTGCTGGAAACTCCAGACACAGCCTTCACACTGGCTTGCCCTCTCTGTTTAGACCTTCGGATGAACTGTTTCGTGCATTCAGCAGACAACGTAACTCATTACTGAGAAATTGCTCATCTTTCAGGGAAGAAGAGGAACCTCACAAGTGAGCTGCACTCCATGATACAAACATGATACAAACCCTGGGCCATCCAAACAGACCACAAAACATTCACAGCAGCGTACAAGGAAACAAAGCAAATTAATTCAGGAAGACGTTTTGTTAGAGATATCTTATAATGAGCTGACTTTTATAATTTTAGCTATAAAGTTCTGAAGTAAAATGTGAAAAAACAACCAACAAAAAACATTATCTCTCTCAATTACTCCAGAACAATTATCTGTTCACCTTCAAAATAATTTGAATAAAAAGCACAAAGCGGTAAATTTTAGTTTAGCACATGGAAGACTAAGGCATCTTGTGCTACATTAACTGCCATCTCTGATGTCCAAATTTTCCTAAGTCTTTTAATTATTTGCTTACACCAATTAGTAAGCCTGAAGGACAGGGATTATTAACAGTCCCTTTTGATTATTCTGAAACACACTGGCGGTCACTTGTTTACAGGAAAGGACTCCCAGTGCTATTGCCAATCAGCCTTAATCCCTCTCACTCGTGAAGGGCTATGGAGAGCTCAAACCCTGCAGAATTTTGTAAGCACACAGGTAATACTCTCTTCTCATGAACCTTTTGATCTTGCACAGAAAAAATGGTTTTTCAACTTCCTATGAAGATATGATGGCCCTGCATCCACTCCTGATGCAGCAACAGAACAAAGTGTAAAATACGAAGTTATTATAATGCAGCAGTGAACCTTTCGATCTTGCACAGAAAAAATGGCTTTTCAACTTCCTATGAAGAGATGATTCTGGCCCTGCATCCACTCCTGATGCAGCAACAGAACAAAGTGTAAAATACGAAGTTATTATAATGCAGCAGTTATCCGCACTGCAACTTCAGTGCAAACTGCTCCAAAGAAGGCCTGCAGCGTACTGAGACATGCGATGTCACGTACCCTGTACGTAAAACTGTTCTTGAGCTTTTGCCGTTTCAAACGTCCCAGCCGGTTTCTGTAGCAGGCGGCCGAGCTGCTGCCCGTGGTCCCTCTCGGGTCCCTGTGGAAATCCACGCTGTCATCGCTGGACACGTCCGACTGCAGGGACAGTTTACAAACACCGTCATACGCAAGGCTAAAGCAGGCAATACTTTAACCATACAGCCATCCTTCAACACCTGAGTTTTTAAGCAACATCTGATTTTTTGTGACTGATCTGCTACGGCAAAATAATGCAATAACGTTAATCAGCTTATTAAATACAAAAGGAACAGAAAAACATGGTATTTGGAAGAAAAATCAGGTCAAATGTGCCATGAACATTTTCTTCTTGTTCAAAGGTTGTTTTGCTGCCTCTCACAAAGGGAGAGGCTCAGCTCTCCTGCCTGTAGCAATAATTCAGCTGCAAAGTCACCTCCAGAGATCTCAGGAAAGGATAAAAGAGAGGAAAGCAATTACATTCTAACATGCCTTGGGTCAAATGGCATAAAATATTTTTAAGAAAGAGTAAATGTTTAAATATATACTTCATATATACTTTTTAAATATATACTTTGCATTATTTTTCTTCTGTCTCACCAAAGCACATACTGACCACATTACGTGGGTGTCGACGTTTTCTGACGGCACGAATCGGTGATTCAAAATCACTGCTGTTCATACCCTACATAAAGAGAAATAAGTATAATTGCAAAGAGGACTTTTGTTTGGTGTTTGACTTGCTTGTTATTTTGCTTCTCTTGTCTTTTTCTTTTTATTTTTTTATTTTTCTTTTTTTTTCCCTTTTTTTAAGACTCACATCAGGAGACTTCAAAACATCCTTTTTTCCCCTGTTTTTCCTCTGGAAAACGATCTCTTCTTCACTCTCACTGCTGGTTCCTACAGAAAAAACAGTAAACGACATTCACAAGAAAATGCATTCTTCATAACACAATATTGCTACAACTGAGCAATCAAAATCTGTCTTTCTTATAAAAGTACCTACAAAGGAGATTGCTTATTGATCTCCGTGGCAAATATTGTTCTCTTTAGCCTTGTTAATCAAAATGAATAATCTCCAGCTGAGATGTTCAATAAATCCTACTTCCCTGTAGAGTCTCTGCGTGGAAGTGATTACCCCAAGCAGAACAGATACAGAAAAAGGGAGGTGAAAAATGAAACCAAGAGAAGAAGCCCTTAAAAGTTGAGCGAGAGTTATGCCTCAGGAAGCATTTTGTAACACACATCCTTTTGGGTGCACTGAAGCAAACCCAGAACTCACTACAAACTCCTCTTTCCCATTCTTTCTCAAACAACTGCAGCCTTTTCAGTTTTTCAAAGGATTTCCGTGATGAAATTCAAGATATTCCTCTCTGTTCGGCACAGCAAATCCCCAGCTCTGACAGGAGCCCCAGGTGGTGCAGTGGCTGTGCTGCCTCCTTGCCCAGAGGACGCTCATTCTGCCTGGTTCCTCCCACTGCCACCTCTGTGGAATCCAACACTGAGCCAGTTTCCAGTGTTACCACCATCATTCCTGTTTCCTCCCATCCTTCCTGCTTAAGTCATCAAGCCCAACTGAGGACCCAAAAGACATTGGGTTCTACATCATTTATTTAGATGTGAAAGTGTTAACTAACTCCCACTACAATCCCTACCTCCAGCAGCAGACACACGTGAACGATGAAGGTTGATGTCTCCCAGGTTTTCGGTTCTTCCTGAAGGGGAATCAAGTGCATCCACAGCTGCACTCCCAAAGTTCTGCCTGTGTGGGCTTTGATTTTTATTTGCTTTGTCTGTAAGAGGCACCTCTGGAATCAACTCCTGGGCACTAGAGAAGACACCCATAGGAATTCCTTTGATAGCTTTAACATTCATAACCTTTCTACCTGTTGGAGTCGAAAAGGAAGAAGCCAAAGCTTCAGATGATCGACTCCCCCTTCTCCTGTCTGCGGACTTCAAGAAGGGCCCTGCAGTGGCAGTGCCCTCAGTCCCTCCTGTGGCACTCGTGCTCCTGCTCGGGAACAGCAGCGGTGTGGAAACGTCTCTTCTCTCAAGACTTTTACAATCCCATTTTGGCGATGACTCAAATCTGGAGCCATCATTCAGGGATGTTTGTTTATCTTCAGTGGGTTTAACATCTGCGTGACGCCCCGAGGCAACATTTAACTTTTTGGTATTATTAGTATTCACATCTTCTGCAAAGATATCGTTCTCCCACTCTTCAATGGAAAACCCCAAATCAAAGGTAACAGAAAACAGTTCTTCAGAACAGTCATAAAGATCATTGTTGTCCAGAAGCTGCTTGGTATCACCGGTACCACTGGACACTTTGGTGGTTGTGGTGTTACCACTTGGTGCCTGCTCCCTGAGGGCTCTGCCAGCGTCCCCACAGGACACCCCTGCAGGAAGCCACGCAGAGCCCTGCTCTGCAACTGCCCTACCGCTCCCACCCGAACCTGACCTGACCAAATGCTTACTGTTCACAGAAACACTCCCGTTAGTTGTACCATACATATGTTCATCTTCAAATAAACAGATACTCTCCTCTTCACCAATAATCACATTTTTCTTGTTATTTTCAAGGTCTTTCTCTTTCTGAACAAAACACTTATATGTAGGGTTATGGGTCAGAGTGTGATTTATTGTTGGAGCTTTCTTTGGAGTTTCAGTGAATGCTTCGCTGTCAAACAGGTCATCAAAGCTGTCATCCCAGTGAAGCTCCTCGTTGGCTGCAGACTCGGAAGACGACACAGTTTTTGAGAAACAGGTATGTACAGGAGGACACGATGCACCGGTGACTTTCAGTGCAGGACTTTCAGAAAAGACTTTGTCCTGCAGTCCCTCTGAATAACTGTTGGAAATACCTTTCTGAAAAGGACATATTGTTTCTTCATTTCTCACCATGTTTTCAAAATCATAAAGTTCATTCAAAGAGGGAGGAGATTGCGATAAAAGCCTTTTCACATGGGAAAATCCCTCTTTTAACCAGGAAGGCTCCTCAGACGGTCTCACCAGTGCAGATGAATCCATGTGTGATTCAGGAAGATAAAATAAGTCAGAGGACACGGGTGATTTCTCTGGTGAGAGGCTGCTATAACCCGAATCTGTGTGGTTTGTCCCTAGTGACCGACAAGCTTTATCTACGCTTTTGCATTCCTGTATTGCTGCACTTTGGTGAATTACAGTACTTTCGCTGTTGTCACATAGGTCAATAAATTCATTTAAGTCAAACGTCACCTCTAGTTCCTCATCTTTCTGACTGCCCTGGTCAGTATTTTCAACCAGAGCAAGCCCTTTTGCTGAGTCAGAAGCCAAAGCATTAATACCTGTAGGCAACACGGGTACTTCAAGATTTAATCCAGGTCTTTTGGGAGTCTTTGTTTTTGTTATTTTAAACGTGGAAAATAATTCACTTGCATTATCATTTGTATCAGGTAAAAATGGTTTTATTTTTGATCTGTGTGCCACGTCTTTTCTGGATGAGTGTGCTCTCTGCTCAGACGCAGAGGTGGGCATGAAAAGGTGGCTTTTATTCCTTTGGACATAAACGTCTTCAATACGTAGGTAAGGCTGGAGCTCCAGTTCATAGCTGCAATCTCCCTGGTGACAAACAGAGTGCAATATTTACTATAAATACATACAGGCTTACAAAGAACTGCCATAGGGATATTTAAAGCAAATGACAAAGGTTTTCATATTTCTACAGGTTATTAGAAAAAACAAAAACCAAAAGGAAAGTGCTTTGTGTTTAAGGCCACAACTTTCAAACAGTTTGCTGCCAGCTTAACTGCAAATCCATGCTTGGGTGGCCAAACCCAGAAAGACCAAAAGATGACACATGTAAATAAAGAGGGCATTTAACAGCGCACCAGTGCACAGTACTGCGCACTGAGCACGTCGTGCAGTTAAGATGCAGTCCTCAGAACGTTAACAGCAAGCGACTCCACTCAGCTAAAATGTGCAAGGTGTTGTGTGCTCACACAGGTGCCTGCTCATGGGGGCACCAGCAAATTGGGAGAGGTGCTGCGAGTAGAAGAAAGACTTCTTCAGGCACTCTGTTCTCTCTGTACTACCATTTGTCATTTGGTTGTTGCCACCGATGGCACATTAAGAACTTCTCACTTACACACTCTGAACCGTTTTTTTTCCACAGATGCTTATTAATCTTCTGTTCAAAAAGGCACTGACCTAGGCAACCAACGCTTTTTAAAACACACTTGAAACAAACACAATAGACTTTGACATCACTCTCAGGTAGGTATCCATGCAAGGACTGCCTGGATTGAAAAGCTATTTATTTATAGTCCTCCTCACTCTATTTCAAATTAAGATGTCAAAATTAAGGCATGCAATCTCCAGAAGGAACAGTAAGGGTCAAATGAGGGTCTGCAAGCAATGGTCTAAAAGACTTCTTAGAAGTTCAAACCTGTTTCACTAATAAAAACTAAAAATGAGGAGGTAAGATCTAAACAGAAGGCACAAGTACTTTTTGGCAGTTCAGCCAGATGAACCCTTAGACTCATTAATCCCTGAAATTAAACAAGGTACATTTATAGAACAGTGGGCCATAAAACTGACTTTTACAATAAGAGGTTACTGCTTCCTGCACAAGTAACATTCTCCAAAAGTCTTACCAGACCTAAGTAGGAAAAAATAAAGTCCTCATAACCTCCTGAACCCTCCTCGATGTCCCATGAGAACGTTATCAGAGCAGCTCTGCTTCAGCTAGCACCAGTCATGCTGATGTTCACCACTCAAACTCAACTATTCAGACTCCAACAGCATCTGCACCTCCCAGCAGCACACAGCAACCTCCCATCCTTCCCAGCTCCTCACTCCCCACTGCGTGGACCCAAGCAACGCACAGGCTCTTCTCCCCTGAGCATAGCCCCCGAACTTCATCCCCAGAGAACAGCACTTCCCATTTCCTCAGCACTCAGTCTCTGTAATTGAGTTGCTAGGAAAGTTTCCAGAGCTGCTGTAACCAATGATGCTGTGACACCAGCATCTTGATAAAACCTGGACCCCTCGAACCCCTGGGGCATCTCTTCCAAAAGAAACTGTGAAGAAATTAAACAGCCAGTTTCCACTGATGGCACACCTGGAGCTGCTGTTGAACAGTCTCTTACTGCTAGACCCCTTACAGGAGTGGGAGGAGTCAATTGTGGGAAACAAGGTTTGAGAAATACTCTGCAAAGTCATTCCACCCCATTACACACAGGAGAGATAACCTGAAATTCGTGCTACCT